AAGCTAGTGGTTCATATTAGGCTAGCAATAACGTGTTTATAATTGCAATCTTATACGGGTAGTCTGCTACGTTCTGGTCATACAATGTTTCCCGCTAGCATGTATAGCTAGCCTCGTTAGCTATACATGCTATCAGCGTCGGAGGAAAGCTAACTGTAATGTACCGTCCTTTGGGGGTCTGTGAGCGGGCAAAGAGAGGGGATTTCCCCGTTGTCTCTGCTGGAAGTGTGAAATAAACTTAGTTGTTTGATGTTCGTCAGCTTGCCAGCTGGATTACAATGCTAATCTACGTTTGCTAGTTGTTCAGTTGTTCAATATGCTATACTATACTATGAACAACAGATAGTGGTTCATATTAGGCTATCAAGCACATGTTTACAATTGCAATCTTATATGGGTAGTCTGCTACATTCATTGTAGCTGGCATAAAAAAAAAATGTTTCCGAGCAAACTCATGTCTAGCTCTTAGTAGCCTTGTTGTTTAGCTCGGTAGCATACACGCTACGCCAGCTATAATGTAATTACGTTTCGCGACTGACCGTACGGCAAATCACCCGGAGTATACTGTCTATGAGTATTTTGTGTGTGAATTCTCCTGCTATGAGATACATGTATGTAAGGCCATCTGCTGATATTAGAGTTGATATGGAAACGCTAGCAACTTAGTTAGCACAGTTAGCACTGGCTTAGCAGTCCGAAACATGTTTACACATTTAAACAGTCGTGGTAGATACCTTGTTTGATAAATACACAAATAACAATGCAAACTTACAGGTTGTGTACCCGAATCTTCCCCTGCTCCAAACGGTCCAAACAAACTAGGAATAGCATCGTCCCTTCAGTTTTCAAATGCTGTGCATATCCGGCCTCAAACTGGGCAATGTTTTGGAAGCTTTCGTCTGTGAAATGCCGGTTCTTCGAACCTCTGAAGGAACAGTGTTCAAAATAAATTTCAACCACTGACTTCGTCGTGGTTCTTCCGTCGGTTAGGACAAAACAGCTCAGATTTCTCCTCAGATTTCAGGAAACAGGTCCTTGGCATTGGCATGACTGGATCGATTGTGACCTGAACCAGAGCTTCCAACAGTAAATGTTAGGCTGGCAGAGGGTGCGGCCAGCGCCGCTGGGTTGTGGCCATAAGCTCTTCGGGATTGGTCCATTTCGTTCCGGGTACCGCATGACATCATGCCGTACCCGGAACTAAATGGAAGAATCAAATGGGCAGTGACGCATCTCCAACGAGGCGTTTTGGGGAGGTATTTTCTGTGTTAGAGTTTTACTCGCTACAGGGTGTACTTTGAGGGTTTTGACTCTGCACACCGTTTACATGCATAAAAACCTTCATAACACACAAGGGGACGGGTAATAACCGGAAAAGCATGCCATGGGAGCTTTAAATTATAATGAAACCAGCTGCAATGGATCATGGATCCACCAGGGGGAGCAGTGATTAAAAAGCTGCCACACTGGAACTCATGTGAAATAAACAGCTGATAGATCTACAGGTATCTGATATAGCGGATATTTGTTAAGATCCATATGTCACGGATAGGATCATATTCTGTGCTAAATAAGAGACATGTTATCATTTACAAAACATCACCATGTTTTTATTTAACAAAATAATGTTGTTTAATCCACGTTGGCGTACTACAACTACAAAACCATCGGTTTGTTTTTTCATCAGGAAATGCAGCCCGGCTCAAACAAACGATTTTTAATCATCATCCTCACGATCATTTAATGTATCATATGTTCGCCGAATTGACATGAAAGCACTAATAAATGTGGTTTAATCCACTTGAGTTTACAACTACAAAAATAATCGGTTTGTTTTTATATCACATCCGACGGGAGGAAATGCAACACGGCTCACTACCGATTCTTAATGCTAATTTAATCATCATCTGCACGATCATTTATGTTTATGTTCGCCGAATTGACATGAAAGCACTGACAAATATGAATATACTGTAGTCAACTTCATTAAAACGTTATTAACTTGCCCAAACTCAGTAATTCACTAAAAAGAGGTTTATTTTTAATGAAGCCTCGTCATCTCACCATGGGCAAACAGGCTATAATATTATACTATTGTTAATAGTTTACTATGTCAGCGATTGTAAGTCACTTTGGATAAAAGCGTCTAACAAGTGACATGTACTGTAATGTAATGTAGTCAGTTTTAAAGCTAGACAGCTATGGTTTCAGGTTTGATCTGAAACAAGAATATGTTAAGGAATCCATTGTCACCAACCATGTCATAATAGCTTTGCAGGAAAGAAGCTAAATATCACTGCAAACGTGAGGCTAATCTTTGGGGATGAGAAAAAAGTGGGCATGGCCTTATTCACAGGGGTCTTTTTACCTTGCACACCAAGATGTCTGAATGAAAATGGATTCTATGGATACCCACAAGTCTTCCCTTATTATGCAGAGATGTCTGCTTTATGTGAATCCATTCAGTGTGTAGCATGCTGTACAATGTTTGAATATTTCTGCATGCTGGGGTCCCTTTACAGTTTGCATGTTTGTCTTTGCTGAGTATATTGATAATAATCTCTCAGCTTTTCCAGACCAGGTGCTGGCCATCACATTTGATTTTATGAAATCATAAAATGTAAAAAAGTGATATCCTGCTGTTGGCATGTTATTAATACATTTCATAAAAATAAATGTATTTTGTAAGCGATTTTACAAGTAGCTCCAAGTCGTTATTTCTTATTGTTATATGCTAATAGTACCTTATTTATCATACTGTTGTTATCATCATCACCTACAGGATAATGCTGCAGTAGCAGTAGGAAATAAATCACAGGCACACACACACACATAGCGCTTTAGTTGAGTTAAATGGAGCATGTGAATTTTAATTGTAATTTTTTTGATGACACTTCCATCTAGCTCTCTCCATTAAAAACACCTAGAGACCATTGTTGAAGGCTGTGGACTGACGACTGATCGTATAAGTAAGTGAAGCCTTTTCTCTATCAAACAGAAAATAATATCCGATGGAGGTTTAACTCTGTGTTTGTTTGTGTGTGAACATCAGCGCTGCTATATACGGACCATCTCACTATGTTTTTTGTATTTACATTCAGCGAGTTTCAAACAAAGTGCAGTTTCTGACACAGCGTCCACCAGAGTCTTCCTCTTTGTATTCTGGGTTATCTAATGGTACCATCATCTCTGTATACGTATTTTATATAGTGTAGAGGTGTACTCATAGGTAAGAAAATGAGGGATGTATATATATCTGAAATGCCCGTATCGACAGACACATCGGTCATATGCTTTTCAGTGCACTGTTTATACATTAGAAGTTGTGTTGTGAACTAGTGAACAGTCTGGACACACCTTCTCATTCAATGATTTTTGTTTATTTTAATACTACTACTTTGTAGATACATTTTTAAGACATCAAAACTTTGAAAGAACACATGGAATTATCTAGTTAACAAAAAAGTGTTAAAAAATCCAGAATATGATTTATATTTGAGATTCTTCAAAGTAGCCCCCTGTTGCCTTGATGACAGCTTTGCTCACTGAGGTCGTCACCTGGAATGGTTTTCAATTAACAAGTGTGCCTTGTCAAAAGTCAATTTGTGGAATGACTTGTGTTTAGTAGTCATCCCACACAGGGCTGCGTGGGACACATAGTTCCCAGAACAGTGTCCTTCAGATGCGTATATACAAGAGAGGGTGTTATTCAGTCACAAGATACATGTATACCGGTTCAAAGCAGTATTCTGTGCTTAGTTCAGATTAGCTAAGGCCCACGTAAGCAATAAACATGACAGTCATATGTCTATCTCCATAGAGGCTGAATCATCATAATCGTTGTCACATAGCTATCATATGCCTAAAACAGTGTGTCCTGACGCTCTTCTAGGTAATTATACATCTGGTTATGTACGTAGGGCCTTTGTTATGTGCTACTCTGAGAACATTCCCAACAACTTGCCTTCTGAATGAGTTTGAGAGCATCAGTTGTGTTGTGCAGAGGTAGTGCACAGTGGAAAGCCCTATTTGACTACTGTTGTAATCCATATTATGGCAAGAACCACTCAACTCAGTAAAGAGAAACGACCGTCCATCATCACTTTAAGAAATGAAGGCCAGTCGATCCGGAACATTTCAAGAACTTTGAATTAATCCTCAAGTGCAGTCACAAAAACCATCAAACGCTATGATGAAACTGGCTCATCATAGCCAGAAACTGCCCCCCCCCCGGGAAAGGAAGACCAAGAGACACCTCTGCTGCAGAGGATGAATACATCAGAGTTACCAGCCTCAGAAACCACAAATGAAAGCACCTCAGATTAGAGCCCACATAACTGTGGTAACCAGCATGGATACCACAGCATTCTGCAGTAGCCAGCTAAATATAAATCATATTCTGGATTTTTTAACACTTTTTAGTTACTAGATAATTCCATATGTGTTCTTTTATAGTTTTGATGTCTTCAGTATAAATCTACAATGTAGACAAAATAAAAATAAAAATAAAATAAAAACTTGGAATGAGAAGGTGTGTCCAAACGTTTGACTGGCAGTGTACATTTTCACATGTTCAGGTATTTAGTTTATGCAATGCTTTAGGTTTAGAACCATGAACCATTAAAGCTGCTCCTCCCTTTTTTTAAATTAGATGTTAAAATGAGTTGAGGTGACTCCAAAATGATTATAATTGATCAAATGCATGCCAATCAACATCCCGAAAAAATTTAAATCACAAACACAGTATTATTAGGGTGGTATGTTAGGAATTCAACTTTTCTATGAATCACAAATGACAAATGTCCTGAAGAAAACTTAAACATTTTAAAACCAAACTAGATCTCTGAGACAGACTGCCAAACGGCACAAGAGCAAAACTCAGGCCCAGCTTTGACACAGACAGGAGAGGCTGGATCTCCTGCAGGTCAAACAACATCTGTAATGAAGGCAGGAAGATGTGTGGGCTCCTTCAGAATCAACTCTGATTGGTCTTCCTGCAGTGAGTGAGGGCTTGAATGGGACTTTGATGACGGAGCAGCCGTGGCTGGAGGCAAAGAGGTGGCTGCTGGTGGCTGTGCTGGGACTGGAGATGACCATGGGAATTGTGGGAAACTGTCTGGTTCTGCTGGTCAAAGTCATGGTAAGGTGTTATAGTAGTTACTTATATTCGTGTCACATGTCATTCATGTTAGTTGTTTCTGTGAACTCAGACACAACTAACGGCTGGTTTAAAATTATTCCATGATTTGCTTTTGGAATGTCCATTAATATGTCCACTGTCTTGTCACAGTGCAGGGACCAGTTCTCCTGTCGTTACTGGCTTCCCTTCCTCAGTCTCACCTTGTCAGATTTAGGTACACTTTACACTGACACACCAAGGCTAGTGCTATATGTTGTATAATACTACTACTAATACTATTACTGTCATAATATCAGTCGATTCTAGTATTGAAACACGTTAGTCACAATGTTTGATGTAGTAACAGTGCAGTCATCCTTTGTGATAATGAACCACTGTGTTGTGAAGGATGCTCCCTCCTTATCATCTCCGGCTCACTGGTAGCCATCTTGACTGGAGGTCAGAGGTCGCCGTGGTGTGAAGTCGTCAGCCTGCTTAAATTTGCCTTCATCACCTCCTCTTTAGGGAGCATAGGTATGTCTCCAAACACGCTAATGTCATCATGAGTAAGATTCTCCATACAATATTACATAAAGGGGTACGTTCAACTTGAGAATAATTATTTGAAGCCTTGGAAGGCATGAACCTTGGCAAATCTCCTGTGATAAATGGCATCCCTCATGAATGTTATTCTCAGTTTTTGTCTGATTTAGGAACATTACTGTTGGAATGTTTTGGGCCAACATCACTTCTAAATTCAGAAATTAAACTCTATGCTAAAGTCATAGCTATGAAAATATGATTCTTGTCAGATAACATGTAAAGACTGTTACATATTCCAAATGCTGGGTGACATATCCATTCCCAACCCAGTCTCACAAAAGAACGTGTAATATCTATGTTTGTTTTCCCAAATAACCCTCTCAAAACGTGACATGCCTACAATATTTGTTCCTATTCATTTCTGAGGACCAGTGTCCATGTCACGTGATTTTTTGTGAGAAGTGTATATTGTACTTTTATAATCTACATCCAGTGGATGTGTAGGATCTATAGTTTGATAGATATTACGAAGATTATTTGAGGTCTCGCCAGGAGAATGTGTATATATACTACGTATTTTACCTATAGAGGTTGCTCTGCGCGCCCCCCCCCCCCCCCTGAAATTGTGAGATTGCTACGTCTTTCCCCCTATTCATTTCTATTGACCAGCGTCCATGTCAAGTTATCGTCAACTCTCACAGGGTGAAAACAGTATTTCCGGTCTCTGTGTTTTCATAGTAGCTAAGGTGGTTGCTAGGGACGCATATTACAACCGGAAGTATTCCCCTCACTGTTGAATGATTTTACAGTGATATCTGCAGTACTCATCAACTAAAAAACATCAGATTATCCTTGAAAATTCATTGAGGCCAATGTCCAAAGGTCAGAGCACGACCTGCTTATAATCTTCAAACTGACATGGTGTCCGGCAGTGGCTCAGTCAGTAGTGGCTTGGACTGGGAGCTGTAGGGTCGCCGGTTCAAGTCCCCGAACAGACTTAAATATGGAGTGTGGACTGGTACTTGGAAAGGTCCCAGTTGACCTCCTACCCTGCCGTGGTGCCCTTGAGCAAGCAATCGGACATCCCCCTCATCCCCCTCACTCCCATTGCTCCCCGGGCGCTGTACAATAGCTGCCTGCTGCTGCTTCTTCTTCTTCTTCTTCTTCTTCTTCCTCTTCTTCTTCTCCAGATTGAGACCTCTCCAACGATGTATTTAGTTTCCAACCAAGTTTCAATTTTGCCATTTCCTGCAGCCTTAGCCCAGGGTTACTTTCCACTGAACCCTTTGGAGGCTCAACCTCAACAATACAAATATATATTTTACCATTACTTTTCAAGTTCTACACTTATGTAATTATCATAACAAAGCAAAATATGGACTATTTGAAGCTTTTGCAATTTACCATGAACTTGTATAAACCTGTAACAATCAAAGACTGGCAGCCAATGAGGTGTTTGAAAGGTAATTTCTGTGGATGATACAGACGGATAAAGTACAGAAAGTATACAATTCCATCAAAAATAAATTACTATGTTAGTTTACATAATGTAAATATCATAACCAAGCAAAATATGGACTATATGAGGATTATGCATTGTAACAGTCAAAAACAGGCAACTGATGAGGAGTTGGAAAGGTAATTTCTGAAGATGTTACAGATAAGGTTCACACAGCATACAATGCCATAATATTTTTGTATTATTAGTGTAGGACACATATGTATGTATAACATCTGAACATTTGTAGTTTTATTCATGTTTCACATCATTTTACAGGATATAACTTTATTATTTCACATATTGTAGTTCTACACATATGAATATCTGATTTGTAAAACATCACAGGCAGAAAGGTTTATCCACCCCCTTAAGGTGCTAATCAATACGTTATGTTTGCTACAAGTAAATGGAACATGAATCTCTGAACAAAGATACAAACATAACATGAATACACAGTCATAACAATAACCATCAACGTTAGTATGGGACCTTGGTAACAAAGTATTTCAGAGTAGACATGTAATAACATCTGAATACAATTAAATGATATAAAATGCCCTAAAGCTCACCTATTATGCTATATTTGAACAATATGTTATAGTACCATATCTATACAAAACATGTCTCTTAAGTGTTTTGCTAAAATAACAATCAGATCACCCATTGTAGCATGCCTCATACCCCTCTATTTCAGCCCTGTTACTAAAGTGCTGATTCTGTGTCTGGCCCTTTAAATGTAACGAGCTGCTGCTGGCCACGCCCCTTTGGAGCTGCTGCATGCAAGCAGTGAGCTCTGTGAAGAGACGGCTGTCTACCAGCAGAAACTCAGCTAAACGCTGCCGTGATTAAACTCCATATCATGTTCCAAACCACATCAAGGATTATTTCTGAAACAGTATGGAGCTCAAACGCTTCCTCTCTCGCGGGTTTACCACAAGGTGAGTACTTTTTAATATCCGGCTTCTTTACACATAGTAGGTTCATCCCAATTGATTATTTCGCCTCCTCCTTTCCCTCACTCGCGTCCCTTCCTTGTGTCTTAGCTCAGCCCCAGTATGACGCGAGTGAAAGACGCAAGGACAGAGGAGTCCTCAGGTATGAGTTGGGATGTCCTCGTTCACTCCAGCGTCTCCATAAACAACACCCTTTACTTCTGGTGCGCACAGTTTTATCACCTGTCACTGGACTTCCCTCCACATAAATCCCTTCAAACCTGGAATTTAGTTTCACATTGAAATGATTTCTTCCATCTCTTCCATCCATCTCTTTTATTATAGTTTTCAATGTATTATTTTCGTTCCTGTATTTGTTTTTCCAGGCATACAATTTCATTTAAAGATCTCCTATCATGCTATTTTTAGGCATATATTAAGGGTCTCAGATATATGAAAATATATAAAAAAACGTGTCTATAATGTTTTATGCTCAAAATACCAAACAGATCATGCATTTGAGACATCCCTCATATCCCTCTATTTCAGCCCTGTTAGAGAAGGGCTGATTCTGTGAGTGTAGCTGCTAGCCCCGCCCCCTTTGGAGCACGCAGGCAAGCTGTGAGCTCCAGAGAGAAGAGAGAGATTTCTACCGGCAGATACAGCCAAACGCTGCCGTGATTAAACGCCATATCATGTTCCAAACAACATCAAGGATTATTTCTGAAACAGTATGGAGCTCAAATGCTTTTTCTCTTGCGGGTTTACCACAAGGTGAGTTCCTTTTATTATTTCCTGCTTTTGTACACATACTCGCTCTAGTACAGGTTAGCTCTGAGTGTTAGCGATGCTTGCTAATGTAAACAAAGACTATATTACGTCCAAAACACGTTGCGCATTGTTTCTGATAGCGACGTTTCTGATAGGGCCATGGGTGTAACGCATTACGTTACTAACATTGCGCGGAAAAATTACTAGATTCTCCCTTTGACAGACTAGACTCTAGTAGTTACTACATTATTCAGAAGTTTACAGTAACTTTGGATAATAACACGGGAATAATAAACGGAGCCTCTCTTTTCCTCTCTCCCTCTCCTGACAGCCCGTCTGTATCTCATGCTCTACGCTGATCCAGTGAATGAGTGACCCGACACGACAATACATAATAAACATATTTATAACTAGTTTAGCTAGTTCCAGGGGTAGATAAGATTGGCAAATGTGATAGGTCTAACCTTTTAACAATTTTAAATATTTCTAGTCACTAGAGGGATTTCCACCGCAGGTTTATATTTGCGTAACATTTGAGCAACTTGTCCACATGCAACTGTCACAGGGGTTGTGCTGCAGTGCAGAGACATGGCGGAATCATCAACAGCTATAACTTTCGAGGGGTGGAGGCAAGGCCGTCCCTCCCTACAGGCCGATCATGCAGACTGCGTGGGGCCTCACCTTGCGGAGGGGGCCTCACCTTGCGGAGGGGGCCTCATCCTACGGAGGGTGCCTCAAAATGCGGCGCACCTATGCGCTTATGCGGCGCAATTAGTGAGGCTCCACTAGCTCCAACCTCCCCCCCCCCCCCCGTCGACGCTCGCGAAACAGAGGGCCTCATCAACTTTGCGTGGGGCCTCAAGTTGGCCAGGGACGGCCCTGGGTGGAGGTATGCCCATTATTTTGAATTTGTCAGAAGAAAGGACAGAAATGTGACGGTAAGGGGCAAACTGTGTCCAGGCCAGAACCTCTCCAAGCACCTGCAAAGGCAACATGCTAACACGAAGCTAGTAGCTAAAGACCCCCGAACCCAGAGTGATGATGTTGAGTGTGTGCCGACTCCGAACAAGCAGCAAAAACTAGAATTTTCACTGTTATTCACTTGTTATTGCAATAGTAATTGTTATATGTGTGCACATGTAGGCCTACGTTTTAAGTTTTGGCTATAGGCTGTTGCTGAGTAACGCAAAAATAATGTAAAGAGTAATGTAACAAGTTACTTTATGTGGAGAATAAAGAAGTAAAGTAATATATCACTTTTTTTAAAGTAATGTGTAAGCGCTTCGGGATTTGTCTTGGCAGATGAGTAGCGCTATATAAATTCAATTTATTATTAATATATTACTTTTTTTGAGTAACGACCCCATCACTGAAAGCCAGCCCACATTTCCGATATTACGTATTTTATTTATGCTACCCATATTTATATATCCTAAATGTTTGACGTTCTGTGGGTTTTATCCACACATGCATCAAAAACCACAAGTAAAACTGTAAGTTATTATTTTATAATCAAAACATTAGTATGGAATTTGTATGTATATTTCACACACTTTAATGTTTTTATTATACAGTATCTCCTCATTCTTTTAAAGATTATATATTTTTAATCGTATTGAAGCACTTTAAACATTTAATGACTGATCTTCCTTTAACAGCTGCAGTGAGCAGAGGGCTGTGCAGCTGGGGGCGGAGCTTTGAGTCACGAGTAGTGATAACACTTCCGTGGGGAAACTGTGGCGCGCATAATTGCGCCGCATTTGCGCATAAGATGAGGCCCCCTGCGCAAGATGAGGCCCTACGCACTCTGCGTACTCAATCGATTTCCGGTTCAAGTCACCGAGGAGAGAGGAGAGAGGAGGGTCCTTGGGATTAACCTATTCCTTCCAGTACTGCGTTAGCTCTGAGTGTTAGCGAGTGTAAACAAAGACCATATTACTTCCAAAACACGTTGCCCATTGTTTCTGATACAGCACATCAGAGTCCTGCACGGGTCTGATTTTCAAGACCCGCTCCTGCCGCGCACCCGCGACGTGCAATACTGAACCCGCCCCGCCACCCGCACATATTGCCAATTAGTTCCGCAAACCAACCCGACCCGTCGGCACAAGATCCTCAAACCGACCCGAACCCGCATATCCTATGAGCAGTGAAAACATGCAATTATTAACACATGCAGTTGCGTATTTGGCTCAAAAAGCGTGGGATGTTGGTTATGTTCTCCATCTAGGAGGACACCAAAAGCCTCCCAGACGTTGGATGTCGCTCTTGAGGAAGAGTTATTGACAATGCTGTATTCTCCGCTAGAGAGCTTCACCTCAGCCATTTCGAATGTGGCGCGCTCAGCAGCAGATTGATGCGCTGCAGAGGTTAGGATTATGCGCGGTCCCGCGGGGGAGAGGTCTGAGGATTTAAACATTAAACTAAATTATTAGTATTTTAATATATTTATTATGCAACACCCGTGACCCGACCCGCATCATCTTTGTTTTACCCAGAACCGAACCCGGAAAAAAGCGTTGGAAAAAATACCACCCGCGAATCACTCTTTTTGCGGGTCACCCGATGAGGACTCTGCAGCACATAGCTTGACATGTTCTTTATTCAGTGTTTACCGCTAGAACAGGGCCATTGTATGTATTATATATAAAACAACTTTACTCTAAGGGTCTCTCGTAGACATCCTGCTGAATACACAGCTGAGGGAGGGGATTCAGCGACTGTATATGGGGACGATAGGTTGGGACGTGGGTGGGACGTTACCAGGAGTTCAACGTAAAGCCAGCCCACATTTTAGTAATGACGTCAAGTTCTCAGCAAATCTGGATCAGCTCTGTTGTTACCCCGTTTTTAGAGATGTGGGTAAGGAGGAAAAGAGAGAGGGTTGTATTTTCTGACACTTTGTGAGTCTCCTTACACATTAGGGACACATATTTATTTATAAAAGACATTAAAAAGTGCATTTTGCATAATAGGTGACCTTTAATATAATTGTAAATTAGGGAGAAAAAAGGATGTTCGGTCATTTAACGGTTAGCTATAGACATTTTGATTCCATAGATGTGTCTCCCAGCGCCTAAAACTCCTGACTATTCTCTCAACTCAGTATTTATCTTTAAAAACTACAAGTCATGTGCACTGTTACGCAAAACGACACCATATTTTGTAGTTTGATTTTGGTATGCATAAAGGTGTTAAATATAGCCTATATACCGATTGGATCACATATAAAAGTCAGCCGAATTACTATTGATACTGCAAGGAGACGTATTGTGTGAAGAGAAATGTAAGATGTTTAATTGCGGATATATTGATATGGGAGTTCTTCCGGTTTGTCCAAAAGTCAGGGCTTAGGGCTCTATAAATAAAGAACTACAGCAGATGTGATATATTTAATGCAGCCGGAATAAAGTATTATTTTCTTTTTTAAATGTTTTTCGTATTTCTTATCGCATAAACACCATATCCCAACGTGCATTGCGCCATCTAATCACAGAGCTTCAACGATAGCTGAGGATTATGGGTATTGTAATGTTTTCGGCTATCCAAAACTCTGAAAAAATAAATGTGTCTCTCAGAAACGAAAGGGAAAAACACAAAAGCATTGTACACAATTTAAAACAATTCATGTTGTGTAATTAACAAGGACAATCTGATGTTTTTTAGTTGATGAGCACTGCAGATATCACTGTAAAATCATTCAACAGTGAGGCGAATACTTCCGGTTGCAACATGCGTCCCTAGCAACCACCTTAGCTACTATGAAAACGCAGAGACCGGAAATACTTTTTTCACGGCGTGAGAGTTGACAATAACTTGACATGGACGCTGCTCAATAGAAATGAATAGGGGGAAAGACGTAGCAATCTCACAATTTCAGGGGGGGGGGGGGTCGCGCAGAGCAACCTCTATAGGTAAAATACGTAGTATATATACACATTCTCCTGGCGAGACCTCAAATAATCTTCGTAATATCTATCAAACTATAGATCCTACACATCCACAGGACGTAGATTCTAAAGTACAATATACACTTCACAAAAAAGAAGTCGGGTGTCCGCCATGTTTTTTTTCTCACGCTGGGAAAGTTGACGATCACGTGACATGGACACTGGCCATTAGAAATGAATAGGAAAACAATATTGTAGCCATGTCATGTTTTGAGAGGGTTATTTGGGAACACAGTACGTTTTTCCCTGTGGACCACCGTAGATATTACATGTTTTTTTGTGAGACTGGAATGCCATTCCACATGCTGCATTGTTACAGAATGCTAAAAAAGCTTTTGATAGTGCAACAATATCTTCTAACCACTTAAACTTGGGCATGTATTGTTCTCTGCTATGTCCCTTAAAAAACAATTACTGGCCAATCGTTGAAGGTGTCGGAAATGAGAAATTGCTCCTGATGGAATGTACTACGGTGTGTGAGTGTGTGTTAATAGCCCTTAGCAGGTGCAGCGTATGGCAGCCTCTATCTCTGTATGAATGTGTGTGAATGGTGAATCCTGACTATATACTGATCCTTTACTATATCTAAAGTAAATGAATTAAACGTCTAGGTTCTGCCACTTGAAATACTGAAATATCAAAAGATTTGGTACAAGTCCTTGCATCACTACAATGCTTTATTAGTAACTTTTTTATAATATATATTTATTTTGATTCAGTCACTTGATGTTTTTTGTTATCCCTTAGCTATTCTTTGTGTGCAACGACTGATCGGCATGGCCTCCACAGGAAGTGCTCTCTTTGTTGTCATGGTGACAGCCTGCTTGGCTTCTTGGGTGACAGGGCTGGTGTTTGGGAGCGTGCCGGTGGTCTACGCCTGGATCAGGTATGTCGTTTACTCAAAGCTTTCAGGTGGTGCTGCTTCATCTCCATCATGTCTCCTCTGCAGGTACGACCCCGCAGAGATGCTGTGTGCTGTCTTCTGGGAGAACAGCTACTCAGACATGTTGCTCTACATCCTCTGTGCCTTCTCCCTCTGTATCTTCCTCCCCTGCGTCCTCATCTTCTTCTGCTCTCTTCTACTGAGTGCCAGCAGCTGCCACTCCATCTGGAACAGGTGGTGAGAGGAGATTTCTTTTAAACAACACAAGCTGGAAACTGGTCACGTGATATTTTAGTCATGTAAAAATACAGCCATTGATGTGATGGCAGGTCAGGTCAAATCATAAGTTAAATATGCATGTGCACAGAGCAGACCTCAGCTGAGTCAGTGACTCCATTGGTCAAGTGTTTCAGTCTTCAACCAAAAATGCCAAGCGTTGGTTCCTGCTTGATCGCTTGTGAGGATGTGATGCTATTCCTTATCATTTTGGGGGAAGGGTGGGGATGTTTACCAAAAGATCTGTACTCGCTGATACCATGACTAAACCACCTGACACAGTCTTTCTCCTTCTTAACTGAGCATCCCTAACTTACCTCTGATACAGAGCTACCTGTACCCCGTAGTGCTATGTACTGTGATAGCTACAGAATAAAGCTTATTCTCTAAGGCTGAGAGATGTACAAATACAAATAGGATTTCTATATGCAATCCAACAAATGTTCCTGTCTCCATCTTGTTCTCTCTTTGTCTCAGTGATGATGCAGTAGACCTGTCTTCAGTCAGTCCTCTGCTGGTGTCCTTCTCCATGCTCTGCTACACTCCCTTCTTTGTGTCTGAGGTGAAACACTCACTAGTCACATACAACGAACAACACATGAGGTTCTGTATGCATGTACACACAGATGCTAAAGCAATCGAGTGAACACACACTTGGCCACTCACACTTTGTTTCTTTCTTTGCATCCCCTCTCCTTCAGCTGATCCTGCTGGGCAGGAGAGACCTGTCACCGGCACCTGATTGGTTAAGGACACTGTCCTCAGTGATGTCATACCTGGACTGTGGTCTGAACCCTCTTATTTACTGCTCCCATCAGGACTTTCGGGAGGCGGGCCTAGCCCTGCTGTGGACCAATAGGAAACCATCGTCAGAGCCTGTCCTCACATCTATCACCAAACGTGTAAATGTGTGAGGGCCTCCACATTGTTCCAGACATTTCAACTATCTAACAATGATGCATCTCATCATGTAGTAATGTGTTTTTATTACATGTACAGCACTTTGGCTCGACCAAAAATCGCTTTTAAATGTGCTTTATAAATAAAACTTGATTTGATTTGATTTGATTTGATCTCAGAAGGATGCATGTTTCAGGTTTCAGGGAAATTAAATGACAATTATTTGTTATCCTTACAATATGTACTATCAAGTCATTTGTCTTTTATACATTTTCTATACATTTTTAAATCAATATGATCCAGTAGAACCCTTTTTCACTCTGAGTTTGTAAAACAAGGCCGTACTCTCCTATATGCTCTTTATATGGATTGTATGACAAGAGGATCCTTTATTTATCATATCTCCTTTATTATATATAACTTTGGTAATAATATTCCCAACCTTACCCCTCTGTTGCCTACATGTTGAAACATACAGCAGGAGGTGGTAGGCCACTAGCTGTGTAATGTATTATCTGCAGTCTGCTAACAACCTATCTAATGTAAGTTACAGCCAACTCATGATATGGTATCTGCGTGTCTGAGTGAAGCTGCTGCTGTGGGGGTCACTGGGGGTCACTGAACAGGATGTGTGCACATTAAACACTGCAACCAGAAACCCTTTCACACTTTATTGCAGTCAAAATGTTAATGGTGGATGGTAATTTGTGGATTATTTTGTCCATACAATAAAACATTTGGCATATATTCCAGGTCTTTTTAACTTAAATTGATAATCATACATTAAGTTGTTAATTTTACTTTTATCATTGATTAAACTCAATATAATCAATCTGCCCTTTTCCTCACAACATAAGCAAAATCAAAAGGAATCCAGCATAATACAAAAATAATCTGTTCATTTTAAACCAAACAGGTCATGTCATCAGCTAAAGTACATAAAGGGAAAAGTTTAAGTTCAAACTGACAGGTGTCTTTGTTCTGCAGGTAAATAAGTTTCACAGGCCTTGGGGGTTTGATAACCTAGGGGAGGGGAGTGGTCTGTAGATCATTGACAGTCTATGTGGTGATGCAGGTAGGAGGAGGACATATATTCATATGTTCAATCTCATTTGTTCACACCCTACTATATCTTTGTTTTCTATTTGTTTTCTAAATTTCATTCAGCCAAGTGTTATTTCGATATGCCTTATCAAAGGCTCTCAACACACTGCCATAAGCAATATTACATAATTTATCATTATTTTATTTAGCTAGCTCAATAGTTGTCAAGTGTAACTTTGCAAAAATATCATAAGACTTTTGTGGGAAATTATCAAATAACCTTGCACATGGAATTTGTTTGAGTTATCTGAAAGTCACATGACTATTGCGGCTTTCACACCAGCGCTTTTCCCTTTCTAGCTCCTAGCTAGAGCTTTTCTGGTTCAGCTCCGGTTTCCCTTTTCAGCTCCCGCTCTGTTCACACCGCCCAGAGCTGCCGCTGCTGCGTCATGACGTCACCGTTTACATCGCTGATTTTCTCCCCAACGGCGCTCACAACAACAACAACGGGGGGGGACTGCGTCGGGTCGATGATCGTGTTGCTTTTAATCATACGAAGCCAGATTAAATTAAATAACGACTTCTCCAACCTTATACTTTTCTCCAGAGTGCCGTGGTTCATTGTTTATTAATGTGTTTCAGCTGCATTTACCGACCGCTGCAGTGGCTGCTCTTCCACGGGAGTTTATTCTCCCGTTAGCTCCGGGTTAGCTCACACGGCTCTAAAGTATTCACTGTCTGACTGTCACACAAGCAGCTGATACATATCCCCAGTTCCCCTTAAGTGAATGTGTGTCAGTCTGAATTGACGCTGTTTGGCATCACAACGCTGTTATGAAAGTTTCTCTGGTATAACATGGGTGATGTTAGCATAGCAACCGAAGCTAAACTGACTACTTGCTAAGCCATTTTCTACAGGCACATTTTACCGGCGTATTTTTCATTATGATTCTACTTGTGATAGTCGGACATGACAACCTGTGCAGCCCATGTATTGATTCCATCCGATAGCTGCTATAATAACAAACAAAACGTCTGCCTGCTCTCCACAATGATCAATAACAGTGAACGGATGGTCAAAGTAAGGTACAAATAAACAGAATCACACGAAGCCTGGTTAGTGTTGCCTGACTTTATAAAGTGTGTTTTTTTTTATAAGTGTGTGGTTGCCTTCTAGTCACTTTGCTCAGCGCTACTGCTTGTAGGCAGGCATGACGAGACTCTTCAGTCGACCCATGTTCAGGGGAGGTGGGTTTAGTTTCCTGCACGCCTCGACGTAAGCGACGCCGCGTCATAGCTCCGAAGCTCTTGCCTCTAGACCGACAATTTTTTAGAGCTGGAAGTGAACCGCATTCCGGAGCTATGACGCGGCGCCGCTGCGGTGTGAACAGGAAAAAGCGCCGGTGTGAAAGGGGCATATGAGGTAGATATTAGCTCCATCTCTATTAAAGTGGACCTATCATGCTATATTTGAAACATATATTGTAGGGCCATACCTATATAAAACATGTTTGTGAAGTTTTTTTTTCAAAATACCAAACAGATCATGCATTTTAGCCATGCCTTATTTCGCTCTATTTGCTCTTTTCCAGCCCTGTTTTTGCAAGGGCTGATTCTGCTTTTGTGGCAGACTACAGCGCCACTTACAGGCCTGGCATATGTACTACAGCGTCTCCAGCGCTTTCGAGCGGTCTCTCATTCCCCTGATAGGTGGAGAGTTGCCCATATAGGCGGAGCACCCCTTTTCTGACGTCAGAAAAATTCGAATAATAATCAGCTCCGTTGCAGCCCCGTTTTTAGATATTTGGGTATGGAGGAAAAGAGAGAGGGTTGTGTTTTCTGACACTTGGTGAGTTCCCTGGAACACCGGGGACACATATTCATGTATAAAAGACGTACAAAAGTGCATTTTGCATGATAGGTCCCCTTTAAGTTTGAACAACTCATTTGTGATTTTTTTTCTTTTGAACACCCCATCCATCTCTGATTTACAGAGAGGCATCAGCTAGTGAATGTCCATTTTAATGGATCAGGCTCATTTTCTTGCAACAGAATTGAATTGAACCTCAAACTCGAAAGCTCAGAAAAAAATGCAGGGCGGAGATGTGATAGTGGTCTGCGAGCACCGGAACCTCGAAGCGGCGGAGAAACTGTGACGCATTACACTTATTGTGCCGCATTTGCGCTTCAGATGAGGAGGTGAGGCCCCCTCCGCGAGGTGAGGGCCCACGCAGTCTGCGTGATCTGCGTGTAGGGAGGGTCTGTCTACCTACATTAAAGGGGACCTATCATGCAAAATGCACTTTTGTACGTCTTTTATACATGAATATGTGTCCCCGGTGTTCCAGGGAACTCACCAAGTGTCAGAAAACACAACCCTCTCTATTTTCCTCCATACCCAAATCTCTAAAAAAGGGGCTGCAACGGATCTGATAAAAACTGATCCAGATTTGAACACTGTCCTGACGTCAGGACGGTGGCGCTACGGCTATTGGGCCAACTCCACCAATCAGGAGGAGACATCCACGGCCATTGCCGTTCGAAAGCGCTGGAGACGCTGTAGTACATATGCCAGGCCAGTAGATGGTGCTGTTCTCACAGAATCTGCCCTTGCAGAGCAGAGCTAAAAAAATGTGCAAATTGAGCGAAATGAGGCATGGCTAAAATGCATGATCTGTTTGGTATTTTGAAAAGAAAAAAGTATAAATATGCCTTATATAGGTATGGTCCTACACTATATTATTCAAATATAGCATGATAGGTCCACTTTAAGAATGCTAAACTTAGCCTATATTTATTTATATATATACTGAATATACATTATGTTGGCGTACCTTGCATAACTGCATGACCCGTATGGCACAATACAACTCAGTACATTTTTGGTCATTACGTCAATTTTATACCCTTTCTTTAGTAGAATTGTATAAATTGGAAGGCTAACTATCAGCTCTCCGGGGATTTGCAGCGTGCATGCGTGGTGAACTGCGTGTTAGAAAATATGAGATCCCAGACTGAGTGAAACTGGGGTAGGAAAAATAATTTAACATTAGGTCAGGAAAGATCATAGATTTTTATTTTGTTTTATTTATTTTATGTTTTTTGTTTATTTTTTATTTTTTTGATGAGATCATATATATATATACCATGGCCGTATCTCATTTCAAAGATTTCCCCTCCTCGAGTCGACTCCTCGGTCCTCCGGTAGTGACCCGGAAATGAATTTCAGCGTGCCATGTTGAAGGACATCTAATTTCTCTAAATGCACATCGAGGACCGAGGATCGAGCGTCGAGGAGGCTCTCTGGAGGAGCTATAACCGAGGATACACTCATGGGTCCTCCACGGATGCATTTCCGGCAACAGAGATGTTTCAAAGAGTCGTGACGCACGGCCGGACTTATCTCAGCCAATGACAGCTCTGCATGCATCCCCTGGATATTATTATTATTTTAACTGCTTTCATCGCGACGCGATGTTTACAGAGAGAACAGCTGTGAGGTCCGTGCAGAAAGCAGAGCAGACTCAGTAGCGTGGCGTGGGGAAAAATTTAGGGGAAGCCCATTTTTTTGGGTTGGGTTAATTTATGCAGACAAGTTCCACCTCACAGCAGAACCCCCTGGTACACGCACAGCTCGATCAACTTCACACAGTAATGCTGATCTCTTACATGAACGTGAGAAAAAATTGTGGAAGGCATCAAGATTGGCAAAAAACAGTTTGGCTGCTTGAATGTTGTTTGTGCCTTGTGCTAAAACCAAATTTAATTTATGAGCATAACAGTGGATGAATAGCGCATTGGGGCAGTGTGCTTTCACTAAAGCCTGAACGCCACCGTGCTGTCCACTCATGCAGCTTGCTCCGTCATAAGTCTGACAAATCAGTTTGTTTGTTGGACTGTAGTTCCCGATGGCTCTCATGACAACTGATGTTATAGCTTTTGCGTCTCTTTCTAAGCTGACATCAAAAAACCCGAGAAAACGTTCACACACACTGCCTTTTTCATTCACATATCTGATGATGACAGTGAGTTGGCACTTATTGGAAATGTCTGATGTGTCATCCACTTGTACAGCAATGAAAGGAGAAATGTGTATTTCTTTATCTGTCTCTTCCTGGATAGAACGAGCTATGCTTTCAATGATGTCATTTTGTATGGTGTTTGACATACCGCTGAAGACTGTTGACGATCCCAAGTGCTCCGCAAGTGCAGTGTCAAACTCTGCAAATGCACGTACCAGCTCCACGAAATTGCCCCTGTTAGAGCTGCCAGCGGCCTCATTGTGTCCCCTAAATGCTTGTTCTTGACGCGCAAGATACAGGGCAGCAATGATGAGTTTCCTCAGAATATCCCGGTTCTTTTTTACTTGTTCATTGTGCTTCTTTGTGCTAATGGTTCTTGCTATATCCAGAGCCTCGTCAATCCTGACGCGTCCAAAAAGCTTTAATTTCACAGCACAATCTATGTGATTTTTGGATTTACCGTGCCTCTCAATTGCCCGTGACAGGTTGGCAAGGTCGATGAATCCTGAAGTTGCCCAAGGATTGTTCAGGGAGCACGAATCCTTGTCAAAAAGAAGACATGGCCAGCAAAATAGACGCTGAAGTTGAGCGCTTCCAGTTAGCCACTCCGTGCGGACATAATTGTCCTCATTGAACGTCCGATTCGCTCCCTTTTTCCTCTGTGTACACAGCTCGAGTGTGGGCATTGGCCTGTCATCTGATTTAATTTTTAGTTGCTGCTGTAGCGGAAGTTTAGAAAAGTTATGTTTGATTAAGTACGCCAAATCTCCACCCTCCATAACGGACCGTCCACACAGCAGCGTTAAAAAAATCTTGGAACGCTTCTGCCCATTCACTTTGAATGGGGTGAAGCCACTTTGCCTCACTTTTATCCGAACTGCAGTGCATTGTGGATTTTCATTGTGATTTTCAGGATTTACAGGATTTGATTCAAAGTTTAAAACCTGTTTGGGGAGTTTATATCAGTTTACTTAACTTCGGGACCTCTGAAGGGAAGCTAGAGACGGCTGGCTTCCCTTGGCATGGCCCTGACCAATCACAGGTTGGCAGGGGCATCACGTGGGCCTCATCTGATTGGTCAATCCCTCACCAAGGGAAGCCAGATTCCGCTAGCCTCCTCTCGCAACAGTGAATGCAATCTACTGTTTCACCATAACATCTAGAGAGGGGCGCTGTTTGTTTCACTCTTTCTTTGTAAAATACTCAATGAGAGTGGGGGAGAGACGGGCCGGCAGCAACAGCAAAGGAGAATTATCGAAACAAAACAAAGTGTTTTTATTTATTTATTTAAATTATAACTACAATCCGAAAAAACAGGGGAAGCCTGGCTTCCCTTGGCCTCCGGGAGAAAACGCCACTGCAGAGGAGAGGAGTTCTCATTTCTCTAACCGCCTGCTGCTTCCACTCCTCTCTCCTCGGCTCCTCCGCTCGCATCTCCTGTGGGCGGGACTAAGACACGAGGATAGGAGTCGAGGAGGGGAATCTCAGAAATGAGATACGGCCCATGAGTTAAGAGATGGAATGATATGATGATTCACACTCATGTACAGTAGGTGGCGGTATGCACCTTTAAAGTTGTTTGCAATCCGCCAAAAACCGAGAGAAGAAGAAGAAGAAGAGAAACCCTGGTTGCATTCGAATAGTCCATTTAGCTTAGGAACCTTCCTAACGGAGTGAAATGACCCGGAAGTCCCTCAGTGGCAGCCATGATAAGTGCCGTTCGAATTCTCTAAATTAAAAGGAAAGGAGGTTTCAAACTTCCTTTATAACCTCCTTTAGCCTAGGAACCACTGGACCTCCCTAACCGAAAGGAGAGGAGAAAATGCTGCCCCACAATGCCTTGCGGCCGCAGCATTTGCCGTCACACAACAGTCGGCCGTTCACGGAAACAACCGATTATGAACGAGAAATTATATCATGAAAGTTACGGTGCTTATTAAGCATTTTAAAACGTATGTGGTAAGTTGCCAAAGTGCTTTGTTTTGAACGTTCATCAGTATTATAATCAAAAAGAGAAATATGAACGTTAGTTTTTACTGAAATGATCAAATAAAGTCAACATTTCACAGTCTTTACTGAGCTGTGTGGGGTTTGTTCAACTTTTAAAAGATGTTTGAATGGTGATATACACAGTGATAGATGTTAAGGACTAACGTTTATAATAAATACATTTGTATTGATTTTAAGATCTTTTCATACAATCATAGGTATTGGGATCATTTGTATTAATGAGGACCGGAGGGAGAGGGTGACGAGCATAAGTTTCACTTTCCTTTTTTATTTCAATTCCAACTTTGGTCATGAAGAATATGTTTCTCTGTTGTCCCCGTTCATAAAGCATAAAACAACAGCATCAGAGCACGGTGCAGAGTCTCTAGATGAGTTTACAGTAGTCCCTCGTTCTTATTAAACATCCATGTTGTAGTCCGCTGTATAGAAAACTGTAGTTTCCATAGTTTCCCCACAGCAGCAGGCGCACATTTATGACCTCTGCTGGCGCATCATAAACACGTCGGATAGTGAAAGTGCAGTCGGATTCTCTAAAGTGTCGCAGTCTCTTCTCCTAAATCCTTTTGAATTCTCCTATCCACTATCCCTTAACCCCATGACGTTTCACTCCGAGGTCAAGGAATAGACGATAGGGTTAGAACTTAGGAGCTGTTTTTTTGGAGTATTCGAACGCAACCCCGGGCTTGAGTTACCGAGTTGATAACCAGCGTCGTAGGACCGTTTAGCGAGAGCGCGTTTGTTTTGGATTAGGTAAGCCAGCTAACTCAAACATATCCAGGGTCTGTTGAACTGGATTCGTAGTATAGGCCTCTGGCCTCATCTGTTGTACTGTGTGTGTTTGAATGCACAGACAGTCAACAGATGGTTAGAAATCATACTGCAGAGAAAGCCATTTCCTCAACCAAAATACAATTAATAAACAAATAACATTTATTCACACTGGATTCACACTGCAATATGTCATCTGCATACAAAATTCGAATTGAACCAATTAACAACGGCAACATCATCTTCTGAAAACACATCAAAGTAATGCAAAGCTTTTCCAAACAACACCGAAGCACCCTTCAGAGAAGAAGTAACTCAGACGGGGCTGTTACTGTGTTGGTGGACACATTCCTCTGTGCATGAAGAAAGGTCTTCTCCTGATGCTTCATCATGTGTTTCTATGTTCTTGTATTATTCTCAGTGCCATCCATGGTCCGTCCAGCTCCACGGCCTCTATCTTCTCTTGGTTCCTCCAAACCCTGTCAAACAAAGACGTTAGTCAGCTGTTCCTACAGCTGCTCTCCACATGCTGGAAACACATTGGAAACATATTGCAATCACCAACGTTTGAAACACACACATCAGGCATAGGGTTGTGTGATTCACAGCAAAACACCATGGTGACTTTCGCTCTGGCTTTGTTTAGTGGGAATGCTGATACAGCATTCCAACTATATGTTATGCTACGGACAAAAAGTTTATTATTATTATTCCGTCCAATTATTTTGTCCGTCTTCTCCTCCCACATTCAACATCGCGGAAACTCCGTTCAAACATCAAAACGTTCAGCTCGGTCGGGAATCGACTGCTATTACTTTTATCATTCATAACTTTCATAATTCCAGAGATACATCCCATAATAAATCACATTTTTAACCATTGAAGTCAATGGAGAAATTCTTCAGACTTCAACAAATCTTCATGCTACTTCAACTGCTAACTGTTCATTCATACTTTCACTCAGAAACCTCCTTCCAACTTTAAAATGTTACACATCTTTCTGACATTATTCGTGTAACACAACTTTTAAATCTGATTCTTACTTTTAGAGATATTAAACATTGTTCAGACCTTGTTAAAGAGGTTTTCTTCAGATTTTAACATTAACTAGAGTGCGTGATGTCACAGCTAGAGGATAAGAAATCTTGAAATGTGCCTTCATATTTTTTTTTTAAACTGCCATAATTCCCAAATCCTACATTCCTGAGACATAATTCTTCATGACAATCGCAGGAAAACATCTCGTAGCTTGAAAAATGACAAATAATTAAGCAAAATAATTAAACAAAATGCCTCTTGAGGGCATGAAGTGACAAAAACTTTCAACATGTCTCCATTAAAACCCATTGTAATTTCAGGCAGATATTTCCTCACAGCAGCAGCCGCACACCTTTAGTTAAACTGCCAAAAAGGCCACATTATTAACCCGAAAGTACACAAAAATTACACTTCAGATAGTCAACTTCCTTGACATGCTTCACGTTTTGAAATTTCACAGATATCTGTTATCGTTCTTCCACAAAACGTTCATATGTAAGAGGTTTATCTGTCATTCAGAACAATGCAAACCTTTGATCTTTTCATAGCTCGTTAGCTCAACTATAAACACCTGTGTAATGGAACACGATGATGTCATCACTCCAACTGACAGCAGTCAGTTCTAACTGTTCATTTCATACTCACACACACACACACACACACACACACACACACTCTCTCTCACAAACTCTCTCTCTCTCTCTGCCACACCGGTCCATGCCTCAACAGCTCTACGCCAAATCTGAAATCTCACCATATGCCGTTTCCATGGAAACGCATCCCTCGCCATAAAACACAATGTCCCTTTAACTCCTATGAAAATGTTCAAAAAGTGCTCAAAATTCACATGTGTGCTAACAGTCCAGCCGTGAAGACATCTACGAGACAGTTTTGAGATTTCTTCAAATGCCGTTGCCATGGCAACACAATGCTCGCCATGAAACACGATGTCGCTGTAACTCCAATGGACACGGTCCGATCGTCCCCAAACTTCGCTTGTATATCACCGGTCCATGCCTCAACAGCTCTACGCCAAATCTGAGATCTCACCATAGGCTGTTTCCATGGAAACGCATCCCTCGCCATAAAACACGATGTTGTCGTGATACCTATGCAAATGATCCAAACACCACCAGACTTCAGATGACAGTTAATGGTCCAGCCCTCAACATGTCTATATACCATTAGTGAGTTTTCCTCAAAAGCTGTTGCCACGGCAACGCATCCCTTGCAATAAAACACGATATTGCTATAACTCCTATGAAAATTGTCAAAAGTGCTAAAACTTCACATGTGTGCTAACAGTCCAGCCGTGAAGACATCTACGGGACAGTTTTGAGATTTCTTCAAATGCCGTTGGCATGGCGATAGATCATTCACCATCAAGTTAGTTCAAAGGTTTACAGTTCAAATATTCTGCTGCTTTTCCAAGCCTTTTTACTCTCTTTTCTTCTCTCATCACACATTCAAGCCCCCAGTGTTCATGTATCATTTCAATCTAAATTCTTCACTTTCTTCTTACACATTACATTTCAGCATAGCAGTTTAGCGTCAGATTTTCAGCATAAAGCATTCCCACTAGCAATTTCTTCAGGAATTGCATTCTCTAGTTGTGATTGTTATTTTTGTTTTTGGACCCAGCACTGTATAACCCTTCACTGGGTTTGTGTATTCCGTGTAGGTTAACATCTACAGACTACAGTAGGCTATGTTCAGGGATGCTCTGTTGTATGTTGAGGGAAGCGTGCCTGTTGAGCAGAACAGTTAGTATTTCAGGCAGAAGTCACACTGTTGGTTAATCAGCAGCTGCTGTAAACCATGCATCAGAAAGTGTGACTGTTCCTAAATACTATGCTAACAACTATCCAAGTAAAGCATGCAGAAAACTATGATCAAAGTTACTGATCATGTGATAGGTCCCAAAGCACAGTGAAACACCTGTTCTTGTAAATATGAGATCTACATCTTAAGTTACGACATTCAGCAATAATGATTCCAAGATAAGCCCTACATTGTTTCCTTTTAAGAATTACATTTGCTTCATGCTAACATTAGTGTTAAACTGTGTGCAAAGCTAACTTCAGGTTCTCACATTGTTTGGTTCATGGATGATATACCAGTTCATTGTTAACCTTACCTCTTATTGTGTTACATGCTTTTCTTTTCATATAAAAAAACCAACAACCATCCTGTAACAGCCTTCACAGTTTTAAGTTAAAAAAAAGTTACGCTGACTTTAATCACTAATAAGTGAGGTTATATCTCTCACAGGCGGAGCCCTCTACTGGACTCTCTCTCTGTGTGTGTGTGTGTGTGTGTGTGTGTGTGTGTGTGTGTGTGTGTGTGTGTGTGTGTGTGTGTGTGTGTGTGTGTGTGTGGTGTGTGTGTGTGTGTGTGTGTGTGTGTGTGTGTGTGTGTGTGTGTGTGGTGTGTGGTGTGTGTGTGTGGTGTGTGTGTGTGTGTGTGTGTGTGTGTGTGTGTGTGTGTGTGTATTAACATTTATTATATTTATAACATTCAGTTATTTTACCTGAAGCAGTGCGTGTCCCAGAGGAAGAGGTGGAGGAGCCTCCAGCAGCAGGACGTCTGTCAGTGTACGATGAGTAGGAGTTGCTGTGGGGCTGACTTCTGAAACACAAACACCCAGAAGGCCCTGAGAGGAGAGGCAGAGGAACACATCCTCCACTTCCAATTCAGGTCATGCATTCTGTATTTTCAGTCATGTTCCTCTCTCCTCATCTCTGTACTGACCTCTGACTGCCAAACATATATCCCAGCAGCCCTCCTGTTCCCATCCCAGTCCAGAAGCCTCCACCTGTTGTAGGGCGAGCCTGGCCTCCTGGGAACTGTTGTCTGCGAGTGTAGTCGCTGTGGAAACCGTAGCCAGGGTCGGCACCAGCATAGCCTGAACACAAAACAGGAACAGAGTGAAGGTTTCAGCGGGTGGGATGTGATCGTGCTTCAGACTGCAGCATGTATCCAGCACAGCGTTTCTTTGAGGAAGGGCTTTCCAGGGAGAAAGTACAGAGCAACCAGCCCACCTATTGTCACTCTACCCATACTTTGACATATTACCTGAGCTGCCTGTGAAGTCAGGTTTGAATCCCGGGGGCGGGGGTCCTGTGCTGGAGCTGTGGTGATCATCTCTTGGGTAACCAGCCTGTCCTCCAGCCTGTCCTCCAGCCTGTCCTCCAGCCTGTCCTCCAGCCTGTCCTCCAGCCTGTCCTCCAGCCTGTCCTCCAGCCTGTCCTCCAGCCTGTCCTCCAGCCTGTCCTCCAGCCTGTCCTCCGTCCTGCCCCCCCTGGGCCATGTTCCCACTGAGGAAAAGCTTGTAGACTCCGAAGGCTAAGAGCAGAAGCACAGCGACCCCCAGCAGGCCTGCTGAGTCCTCCCCGCCTGAGGGGGACGCACTCTGCTGGCTCTGCTGTTGACCCTGATGCTTGTTTCCAGAGAAACCGCTGAAGAAACTGGAGGCAAAGCCCCCCAGACCTGAGAAAGACAGAACAGATGTTTAAGAATATTTAGTTATTGTGTGAAGATGAAGCCTCATGAACATCAAGTATCCATCCTCCTACCTCCTTTAGATCCACCATGCGTGCCCCCGCTGCCCTGGGCTGTCCTCCGACCCCCTTCAGTCAGCTCCAGAGTGTACTCCAGCCCACAGGAGCCCCTCAGGATGAAGGCGTCAGCAGGTTGGCTGTAGCCCTCACAGCTCACCTCAATGCGACCAAATCGGTAGGCATTGTCCATATCAGTCTTACACTCCCACTGTGAGGCAAGGCACATTTATTTATATAGCACATTTCGACACAAGGCAATTCAAAGTGCTTTACAAAAAGGAAAGACATTAAGAGCATTAAGAAACATTATGAAATTACATTTAAAAACACTCATTTAAAAGCAAAGATACATGAATTAAAGTGACAGTGCAGTGTGAGATACACACATCTGAAATGTTTAGCTCTGACTCTCAATCATTGCTCACTTTTTAGCAGAAATGTTTCTATCACCTCCCTATCTTTCTACTTTCTTGTTTAACTTGTCCTTTAGTTATTTAAAGTGTTTCATGCTAAACAAACCCCCCTTTGGAAAACTATAATCTGACCCCATGGTACCTTTCAGTTTTTGCCGAAACTATTCCTCTTTTTTCTTTAAAGTGGACCTATCATGCTATATTTGAATAATATAGTGTAGGACCATACCTATATAAGGCATATTTATATTTATACTTTTTTGGTATCCTCCGTGAACCAGAGTCATGAAACCAAAACGAATTCCTGTACCCCATGGTACCTTTGAGTTTTCGCCAAAACTATTCCTCTTAGTACAGGTGAGGGAAAACTTATTTTTCTTTTTTCAAAATGCATGAACTAAATTATCAGAAGATGAGTGATTTGCTCAGTCAGTCACACCTCCTAGAATAAAAGTGTGAAGTAGCATTTACTTGAACAACCTGGTTCCCCTGCGCAGACACGTTTTGTTTGTTGAGCTACAGCCTGACACTGAATACTTGAGAGTTAACAAAGTCCCAATCCCAATACGTCAGTCATTTTTTTCTTTCACATAAACATTATGCTCACCTGTACATCCACCCCATCCCAGCCTTTGTTCTGACACTGGACCACATCTGGGCTGAAGGTCTGGCACCCCGCAGACCCCCCCACACACTGCAGCTGCAGCACGGGGCTGGAGCGCCTCGCCGTGGTGTAGCGGCCCCGGTACAGTGTCAGCGCCTGGACGTCCCGCAGCAGCACGCTGCCTGCAGCGGACACAGGAAAATAAACCATATATATATATATATATATATATATAGATATATATATATATATGTATATATATAATACACCACACACATATGCCTATCTGTACATGACACCCAGTAAGTCAAAGAAAAGGGCTGCTACAGTATGAACTTCTATATTAATACAACAGAAGGCAAAGGAATGATCCCTTGCTGCAGGAAGTCATCCTCAATATCACAGGTGTGAGTTTGTGTGTGTGGTGTGTGTGTGTGTGTGTGTGTGTGTGTGTGTGTGTGTCAGAGTGTGTATCAGAATACAGACCGCTGGGCTTACAGAGGGAAGAGTTATTTAGATCCTTTACTTGAAAAAAAGTACAAATACTATGGTCTTAAAATACTCCAATACAAGTAAAAGTCCTGATTTCTAAATTGTATTGTAGTAAAGTATAAAAGTATTTGCACCAAAATATACTTAAAGTACCAAACGTAAAACTATTCATTCTGCACAATGAGCCATTTCAGAACAATAAATGGACAGAAATAGTATCATCAAAAGTAAAATACTCATTATGCAGAATGGAATTTTTTTCACAGTATTATATCATTATGGTTATTATATTATCCTGTTTTAATACAACAAGAGATTTTAGAATGGTAGTTTTCTCGGTGCGGACCAAATTTAGATACTTGAAAATACTGTGCAATATACCATCTCAGCATATCATGTGTTTTTACATTTACAAAGAAAATCTCAGTGTTAAATAAATGTAGTGGAGCAACAAGTACCTCTCAACTGTAGTGGAGTAGAAGTATAAAGTAGCTTTAAACGGAAATACTCAAGTAAAGTACAAATATCTCAAAAAACTACAATACTTTAGTAAATGTACTCCGTTACTTTCCACCACTGGATTTGTTTGTAGATATTGGAGGGTTAAACATAACGTTAATATTATTGGTAATAGTTCTAATTCATAAATTCACTGTGACGCACTATTCAAATGAATTTAAAATTAACATTAGTGTCACATCACTGACAGACATTAATATAACACGAAATAAATGCCTTCAAATTGAGACTAAAAACGTCCAATGGGCAGGAGGAAGTACAAACCGTACCATGATCTGGGTTTACTTCGTCCCGGTTTAATGGATGTATGTTTTTATTAGTTTTCTACTTTCAGGAAGTGGGGAACTGTTAGCGGAAGTAGCTGTTCTGTCTGTTTGCCGCTGATGATTATTTGTGCCCGTAGTAACATTACTTTGCTACACTACCCTAACTAACAGGAATGCTGTGCATTACTTTTTGAATGATTAATTCATTAAAATGTTGATGAAACAGAGGAAGGAAGCAGTACCCACCGTCCTCCCAGCTCGAGATGTGTCCCACCAGCAGGCAGTGCAGCAGCCCGGTGACACAGGCCTTCATCCCGCGGGCTGTCCGGACCATGGAGGTGTAAGAAGAACCGTCCTGACTCTCTGATGAAACTCACTGAGCTGCACTACGAGTAACGATCAGCTAACTAGTGACGTTACGTATTGCGCCGAGGCTTCGGAGCGTGTGTCGAGTAATCCCCGAAGCTTTTTGTTAAGCTTGTATCGAGGCTTGTATTGTTTTGGGCCAGTGACGTCGCCGATGACAAACCAAGCCTCGCTGCCCCTCAATACCACGTGACTGCTTCAGAAAGTGCTTTAGATCGGTTGACAGTAGCCTCGTCTCAATACCCCTCCTCGACTCCTCCTTTCCCTCACTCGCGTCCCTTCCTTGCGTCTTAGCTCCGCCTCCGTAAGATGCTAGCGAGAGACACGAGGAGGTGACGCGAGGACAGAGGAGTCCTCAGGTATTAATTGGGACGTCCTCGTTCACTCAAACGTCACTCTTAAACGACGTCTGTTAATGATGACATGTGCACAGCTGTATCCCCTCTCATCGGGCTTAATTGAATAACCCTTTAGAACCGGCCCATTTGTTGTTAAATATTTATTTAAATGAATGAATCTTTATCTTGTTAGTCAAGGAATTCAATGTATGATGGTTGGTCCTGCTTTTGTGTTCCGTTTTGGTGTAAAATGTAGCCTACATTTAAATACAAATATAATCATAATAATGTGAAAGCCTTTACTCTGAAAATGTGTGTCCTGTAGATCCCCACATTCACCACAAACCCACATTCAGGACTGTGAATTTTAAATAATTTAACTCCTGAATATCTTAACAAAAACAATACAAATAATTGTTATTTATCAAGATCTAGCCATTTATGAAATAGCTTTCTTAATAGCTATGTTTTAGTGACGTTCAAGATCATTAAACATGACTTAAATTGTTAGTATAACCTTAAGAAATGAATTGCACATAATAATTCCCACGGAGCTGTGAGCACTTATACATTTATGTGACGCTTTTCCACTCATTCTTCCAGTTCTCCGTTTTCCTGTGTTGAAATCGACCAGCTGTGAAGGTGGGGGCGGGGCTTTTATACGCGAGTAGTGAAAACACTTCCGCGTAGTCTGCTCTCGTGTATCCTCCCTTTCGTCTCCTCCCGCACCCCTCCTCCCTCACCCCTCCTCGACTCCTCCGTGTGCATTTCAGCTATTGGGACGTCCTTCAAAATGGCGTGTCTTGATCGATTTCCGGGTCAAGTCCCGGAGGAGGGGAAGAGAGGAGTCGAGGAGGGGTATTGAGATGAGGCTAATGTCACTACCCGATCCGTTCACCTGCCCGATCGGTACTGCGCATGTGCGAGATGGTCCGCCATATTGGACAACTCCGTACGGCAACCCAACTAGGACACTTGACACAGTGGCTTTTGGCAAAGCACACAAAAAAAACTCAAAAAACCGAGAGAGATGAGTTATTGTTATTACAACGTGACTTCACTATTATTTAACAACTATTACTATTGGGTTCTTTTATTTGGGGTTAAGTACATTGTCAGAATAAGTGAGAAATGGATTTAACTTCTGTTAGACAGCTATCATACTGAATAAATATTTATGCAAAAACGTATGGCATTAATAATGTATATCTAATTACATTTAAAAATGTATGGCATTAATAATGTATATCTAATTACATTAACTGTGAATGTCTTTCATTTTATTTAAAATGAACAATTACATACAACATTTTCCATAAAAAAGTTGATTCAAGAACAAATCTCTGTTATTAGATCAGTACTTTTCTTATATGACTATTATTGCTAAATTTGAAAGGTCTTTACCAGCTTTGGAATTATATATAAAACAAAGATAAACTAGTTCTTGCTACCTTGGTCTAGTTAAATACTATACTGGACTCGTGAAAAATACTGGAAGACAAGATTTACTTTGAGGAAGGATTGCTCTACTTATTATCGTGTTTACAATAGTTGAGATTGTGCATTGTGATACACCACAAAGGGAAGGGGGTTGTGTCTGTGTTTAGGGTTCCTGCAGTTTTTGAACGGAAAGCACACAAGTTCAGAGGAATAAGCTGTTCCCGTGCTGCTACCATGGACTGGCTGTTACCCACAACCTGCAATATAATTAATCAAGCAAAATTAAAGGATAACAAACTCCAGTTAAATTATTCCATATTAATAAATAATATTACATGCAAATTACATTTCCTGTAGGATGCTGAACCCACCTCTCCCCTCTGCCCCCATTGGACCTGGATCTTAACAACCCCCCCCCCCACACACACACACACACACACACACACACACACACACATACACATAATATATTTATTGTTGTGCCTTTTTATTTGCTCGTATTATGATGGGATATGGTTTAATTTAGTAAATGGTTGTGCGTTGTGTGTGAAAAATGTATATCTCTAAAAAGTGTGTTGGTGTATGATCACATTTGTATATGAAAATGTCTGAAGTTAATAAATACATTCTCAGTGTTCAAGTCAATCACTGACGATGCTTACGATATCATAAAATCTAAGTGTTAATGATTGTCAGTAGAGATGGGATGGCAGAAGGTGCTATATATATATATATATAATTCCAAAGCTGGTAAAGACCTTTCAAATTTAGCAATAATAGTCATAAGAAAAGTACTGATCTAATAACAGAGATTTGTTCTTGAATCAACTTTTTTATGGAAAATGTTGTATGTAATTGTTCATTTTAAATAAAATGAAAGACATTCACAGTTAATGTAATTAGATATACATTATTAATGCCATACATTTTTAAATGTAATTAGATATACATTATTAATGCCATACGTTTTTGCATACATATTTATTCAGTATGATAGCTGTCTAACAGAAGTTAAATCCATTTCTCACTTATTCTGACAATGTACTTAACCCCAAATAAAAGAACCCAATAGAAATAGTTGTTAAATAATAGTGAAGTCACGTTGTAATAACAATAACTCATCTCTCTCGGTTTTTTTGAGTTTTTTTTTGTGTGCTTTGCCAAAAGCCACTGTGTCAAGTGTCCTAGTTGGGTTGCCGTACGGAGTTGTCCAATATGGCGGACCATCTCGCACATGCGCAGTACCGATCGGGCAGGTGAACGGATCGGGTAGTGACAGACAGCTAACGACCGCCACTAACCATGGACCTGAGAGCTCAACTTCCGTGTTACGTCATCTGTTGTTGTTTTCGCAACCAATGGGGGACTTGCACGACTGCTGCAGATCATTGCGTCATTCAATAACAGTATGATGTAAATGTGGGAAATAGAATAATAATTAAAAAGTTTTCTATTTTAAACGATGGAGCCTTCTGCACTGCGTGATATTACATGAAGTCGAATGATTTGGGTTTGAGAGAGGACTTTCTACATTAAGCACGACCCAACTCCGCACCAAGGTGCAGTAACGTTTCCTGAAATGACAATAACAGAGATCAGTGGCAGTAGTAAAAATCTGATCTTTTATTTGTTCAATCACCCATTTTTCAGCCCACATTATTACATTTCTGCTATAAGTTAGATATTTACATCATCATTCAAGGCCCTTCACAAAATGCAATTATGATTGACCTTTACAAAGAAATCTATTTACATTGTACAAAACATTGCATACATCATCAGCCATTCACCAAACCCTCTTTACCTTGCCAAACAAACCAAAACCCCCACATTATCTTCATTAAGATAATGAACCCCCACCCCATTAAGTGTAATTGTGTCAATTTCTCACTTCTATCATTTCCAACCCAAACCACAAATTGTTCCTTTCATTATCAGACAGACAGTTACTAGGTGAAAGACAGCTGGTCAGCAACTGATCTTCTCATCAGGACTGTCAGTAAGGCAGGTCAGATCACTGTTCTCAGATGTGTTCTCCTTAGGTTCCTCTTAAGCCTCGCAGTGTCAGTGGACGGTGATGGAAATGAATACAAGCCAATGGAAACCAAAATAAGTTATAGGCAACCAATACAATTAAGTTTCAGGCATGGCACACTAACAATGGACCTTGAGATGCTTTAGGGAAACAAACACTGTATAGTTTGCTTTATATTCAACTTTTTAATTGAATCCTGCTTATTCATTAATCAAATGAAGCCTGTTGGATTACTGTACTAGTTGCAAGCTAGAATGGCCCTTTAGTTGGAGATGAAAAAACCCTCTGGAGTGCAAATGTGAAGAACAAGCAAAAACAATTTAACATTGACACAGGTTAGTGTCAGCGTGTTCAGCACGTGTCTTCCCTCTCTGGGAGCTCCACCTTCTGTCAGTGTTGGTCCTGGAGGAAGGTTGCTGTATTTTCACTGACATGGTGAAATTGCCTATGGGCTTTTTTGAAAGAGATGGCTGAACAGGGCCAAGCAGAAGAATAGTTACAGATGGTCGTCCTTACATGTTGATTGTTTAAATACACAAAACAAGCCGAAACGTAAACATTCATGACACCACCCAGCACCACCTGCTACACTGATGAATCCTCCACCAATAAAAAAGACTCTTTGGTAGGTGAGCTAACAGTTGATTGGAAGGTCTAATAAGAGCATGACTGTTCAATAGTCAGGGTAGATGTTGATTTCTTGAATCAATGTAGTGGTTTAGAAAAGACCTGAGAGCCAAAGACCAAAAGAACAGAAAGAACGAGTGAAAAACCAACAGTATGAAGGACAGAGAGACAGAGCAGGTTTCCAGTTGTACTTCTGCCACCTGGATTGTCTGTGTCTGTGTAATGCATGATCTTATGGAGCAACAGTTCCAACCAACTATTTTGGGTTGAAGCTGTTAAAAGTCAAAACTCAGTATCTTTCATTGAGAAGCACTGACACCGACTGGCTCAAATCAAAAACATGATTTCTTCAAAGGACAGTATCTGCTGGCTTTATCTGTAAACGATGAGTACGGATGTGTTTCTCAGTGGTTCTCCTTGTGCCAGTAGTGTTCAGACAGCCACTATGTTATTCATCTCCCATTTCTGAGTGGTTTTACTGTTGTCACAGTCTGATATGAAGACTTTGTGGAGCAGGTCGGAGCGGTCCAGACATTTCCCTGTGAGGACAGAAAAAGATGAAGGTTAAGCTTAGTGTTTGATGGGATTCAGAAGCCACCCTCCCATATGAATCCCTGAAATTAAACCCAATCGGACGAGGGTTTGCACTCCAATATTGATCTGATTAGTGATGCTACACTTGAGAACATTTGAGTTAATCTAATCCAAGGCAATGTGACAGTGATGTTGTTTCTAAGGTGGTGGCTCAGAGGCTTGTTTTTAATACTTCTGCGATGCTTTGTCCTTCAACAGGTGAAAGGTTGAAACAGATCCAAACCACGATGGTGGTGCCAGGTAACACGTATGCCAACACGCCACATAGCATCGCACTGAAAAGGGATCATAATGAGCAACTCAGGTGCTGCGTTTCCATCATAGCCAATCAGAGATAAAGCGGATTAATGCCTGTGAAAGATTTGTTGAAGAGACTAGAACATTAATAATGGAAGTATATGGTGGCCATGTCAATGCTCTTTCACAAGTCTTAATACACATTACGTTTAAATAAATGAATGGTTTTGTTCCTGATTTATGACTAGAACAACTTGACACATTGTTGTGAGCTGCACCTGAAATGAACCTCCAGGTTTAAATTGGAGCTGACAAAAATGGCGATGGACCAAGAAAAAAGCATTGTTCTCTCTTCTCAAAAGCGCTGTGTACTCAATCTCCTTTTAATTGGTGCTGATGATTTATAGTGATGAAAATGAATTACTGTGTGGAAGATGTATGAACACTTGAAGATTTTTACCTGTTGGCACATGAGTGAACCGATGGAGATCCTGGAAAGAGAGAGAGGGTGAGTCCTATATTCAACAATTTCGACTTTGTGTGTGTGTGTATTTGTATATGTATGTATGTATGTGTGTGTGCGTGCGTGTGTGTGTGTATGTATGCGTGTGTGTGTGTGTTTCTCACCTTGAAATACTTCCACTCAGTGTGCTGCTTCTGATCACAGTGTGTGATGATGACAGCTGAATTATCACTTCCTCTCGTTAGGCATTGGTCATACTGCATCAGCTGGTTGGCTTCGTTGACACGGAACAACTACACAAACACAAATGTGTAAATGTGTTCCGTTGATCAATGAAAATCTTTCCTTGTATCCTTTACTGAGGGACAGGGATTCCAGTTGTCTCAAAGATACGAAATGTTATTACATGCTCTGCAAACAAGCTAATCATAACAAACCAAGACCAACTCCAACTGAACAGAGCTACAGGACATGAGGCAGTGTGTGTGTGTGTGTGTGTGTGTGTGTGTGTGTGTGTGTGTGTGTGTGTGTGTGTGTGTGTGTGTGTGTGTGTGTGTGTGTGTGTGTGTACCTGGTTTCCACCCATTCTGTGGCATGGCCCTATTTCCACATTGCCTCCATTGGTGTGTCCCATACTGTCAATACAGTAACTCGTCTCATAGCCTCGAATCTAGGTACACATGACACAAGGTAATACACATATGCCATATGACATCCAAGAAAGAAGTGGAAACAGAACAAGCTGCTTGAGTGTGTGCATGTGTGTGGGTGCCTACCTCTCCCCATTCTACATTTTTAGGAGGCAGAGGGTAATGCATTGGAATGTCATATGCTATTTCCTCCATGAACCACTTGAAGCTCTTGCATCGATGATCCTCCCTGTTCAGCCAACAAAACAGCAAACAATTCATTCACAACCAAAACGTAATGCTTCACTTAGAGCTAATAATATCTTCATTTCATAGCCATTTCTAAAAATAAAGGAAGTTATACATGCATGATGCATTCAGGTCCCTTCCAATGCTTTCACTCTAAAGCATGTCTAGAACTAAATGAAAGGCTTAAGACAGCTAATGAAATGCGTAATGCCTGAACTATGCTAAAACTATAAACGCCTGTATATGTGTGAACAAACATTTGATCTGATAAGGTGCCTATATATTGTGCAATAAAACAACGTTTGGGACATTCTATGTGACGGTTGGGTCTAAAGACTGTATTGCATCAACTTCAGGGTTTGTGCAGTAACTGTTTATGAAAACATCAAAGTGTCATCTATCTGATCCACTCTGAAAATGAAGATCTTGAGTTGGCTAGGTTCTCTGAACATCTTCCTGCCTCTCAGCTCAGATCCATTATCCAGTAGATTTGACCTTGTGTACAACAAACTATCCAATGTTATGTGTGCACCTGTTCTAGGTTGACTACATTTTTGTTTGTCTTAGTCCATTTTGACTCTGATGAAGAAACTGTGGTGTTGAAGCGTTCGTCTGTATGCACACTGAAAGGCTACTGCTCCAGTCTCCTCTTCTCCTTGGGAAGTTGGCTCTTTATCGACCGTGGGTAGACTTTTCTTTTATTATGATCTCTAGAATATTAACGTTTGACTGGCCATTAATCAGATAGTGTACAGGGGCTTTGAGCTGGGAGAATGGGAATGTTTAAGAGATAATGGAAAGTGTGATAAAGTCAGAAACAGACAACATCTATCAGACATCAATACAAAGTATGCATATGTTGTGTATGTTCTACCTGAAGCGTTTCAGCTCACTGATGTCTCCGTAGGCTA